CAAAATTTCAAATGCGACCCTATACTCCCTGATACGATATTTTAAAGGGTTTTTCACGCTGGACTAGATGAGAGCGATACGGCTTGAAATTGTAAGTCCGGAGTACTTGCTATTTTATTCACTTACTATTTTATTACTCTAATGTTATTTTTTGAAAAAACTAAAACTCTTCCAACATTTCGGAGAGAGGAATTTTGGATTATTTAGTTAAATTACGCTGCCGGTTTCTGTTTGCCATAACTTTGCCATTTTATCCATTTTAAAATCCAATTGTTCCATTGTTTCCAGTGTGAAAAATACTGTAAAATGATGTGCCAAGGTGTGTAGGGTCGTGGTTGAAATTTTGAAGTTGAACTGGGCCTGAGGTACCTTGTACAATTTTCTCCAAAAAAGGTAAAAATTTGAAACTAGATAAAACAGTATTAAACCCGTATTTTTTATAGCGGCACTGGTTCGAGAAATTCAGCCGGACCCTTAAAAAAACAACTATATAATTGAGTACTGAAATACGTTTCTTATCATGTATTTATTTATTTTGTCATTTGTTGCTGATTGTTAATAATTGCTTTTTACATCAACTCACATTTTGGAGTGATAATGGGGTGAATTTGTTATAAGTTGCTTATTTAGATATGTTTGTTGGTTTCACTTTAAAAAACCATGTTTTGCTCCGTTGTAAATGCAATGTAATAATTTTGAAAAAATAAACACCTATTTAATTGGATATTTATAAATACCAATTACTTCCAATTGAGAACAAATGTCTTCTTGGTTAAATAAATTTGTAATTATCCATTCTCTCAATTCACTAAAGCTAAGTTAATATTTTTATATTCATAATAAGATTTTTAGGAGTGTGAATAACAGATTAAATATTTAAAATAAGGCAAAAATTAAAGTAATTACTGTCATTACAGGAGATATAGGAGCAAGCCAAGGAGAAATAGACTGGTTCCGAAGCACAACGGGGAAGGAGGCAAAAGAGTACTTGGGAAAAATGACAAGGGCATCATGGCAAGAAAGATGGACAAATAGCAATAAAGGTCGGCTAACATCCAAATTTTTCCCAAGCGTTGAAAAAAGACAAAAAGCAAAATGGCTACACCCCAACTACTGGACCTCCCAAATGCCATCAGGACATGGAAACTTCGCAAGCTATCTTCAGCACTGCATGCAGCACTGAAGAAGACGCCGAACATAAACTCTTCAGCTGTATCAAATTCAAAGCAGAAAGAGAACGTTTGCGAAAGACCATCACCTCAGCAGAATAGCCGCCTAATCTCTAAAAGCTAGTCTGTGATATCAAATCTTTTGGAGCACTGGAGCACAGCAAAGACTTTGCCTCAAATACGCTTAAATGAACAAGTACCTATTTATTCTATTTATTCTAATTATTAAGTCCTAAATATTGTTATTATTGTGAGAGTTTTATTACCATTATTTATTTATTTATTCCATAATTAAACATAGGTTTAGGTTTAGGGTTCCGGGCTGTTTTCCTCTTCTTAGTAAGAAAATTTTAGATAATATACATAGATAGAAAATAAAGCCAAGGAAAAGTAAATGTGCAAGGGGAAACCAGCAAGGGAAGACCTTTTGTTTTTAGGTTCTAAAATGAAAATATGGTCCCTTTAAAAACCGACCAGCGGTCTCGCCTGAAGGAAAGATCATTGGGAGGTATTTTTATCCCATTTATTTGAAATCCCTTAGATATACAAATTCGATTAAGCTAAAGCGTTTGTCCGCCGGTATGGGGTCTTCCTCAGGTACGACGGGGTGGTGGAAAGGGTAATAAAAATTTTAAAAAAATGTCATACTGGAGATCGATTGGTTTCGCGAATTAGGAGTTGAACCAATTTACAATTCTTTTATATATTATTACCAATTAAAATTTTATTATATATGCCGAGATTCAATCTAAGAACCAGTTGGACATTCTAATCACTCAGCGCCCTCGGTCACCGTGATACATAAGCAAAAAAAACTGTTTGGGTTTATCTTTTATAGTACAGATCAGATGGAATCAAAAATATGTATTTTTGCCTATTTTTAACGTAAAATGTTATTTAATTGCATACGAAAAGTTAAATTTGTTTTTATGCATGTTTTATTAGTTTCTTTCATGCAGAAGATTGAAGATATTCACCTAAAACCCCTATGCCAAAAGAAATATTTCGAGTGTAAAACGTTTAGCAGTCCAATTTTGACTTAAAAACGTAATTTTCTCTAAATTTATTTCGGCGGTACTTCCAACACTAGACAAATTGCTGAAAGTTAACAAGGTCGTAAATAATCCAAAAGACCTGGAAACACAAAGAGAATATAAACGCATTAGCGAGTCATACGCGATTTAGCCCGGTGGCGTACGGCTATAATAAACCGTTGCGATTTTCCCTTTGCAATTTGCCGGTTGAATTCCGTGGAAGATTTAGCGCTACTTTAGCCTCTTCTCTTCACACGCCATCGCAATGGCTGATTTATCGCCTGATAAAAGAAAATACATGAGATCCCTTTCGTCGCGTCCCTTCTTGTGGTGATTTTAGCCGTTTTTAAATTATAGCCGTTTCAATCAGATATTGAATGGTCAATATGGTCTCAAAAATGGTAAAAATTTTAGGGGTCAAAAAATCGATAAATTTAAATTTAGGGATCTCTACATGTGATAAAACGAAATTTCATACTATTTTCACGAATTAAAATTTATGACCTAGTTTACATGAAAAACTTTTAGTTTTAAATATTTTTTTATTATCGATAAACTTTAATAGCTTTGACTACATTTTTATTGTAATCTACAAACAAAATGCTATAAAATTATATATTCACATAGTTGATTTGAGCACGTAAAACGACGAAATAAAGATATTAAAAAACGGACAATTTCACCTTTTATAATTTTTTTGGCGAAATCAGGGCCTATTTACAAGAAATTTTCGATATTTTGGGTTGTAGAAACACCAAAAAAAGTTTGGTCCAAATCCGTGATCCACCAACCTGGTCGTCCCCTTATAAGTCTTGTTCCACACTCTTTGAAAATGTATCCAAATAATAAAAAGTTTGCGAAAAAATCTAGTTTTTTCTTGCTGTGTACATCGCTAATAATTGGAAGTACTTCCAATAGAGATAAAAATAAAAAGCAGTATGTAAAGTAATTTCTGTCATACAGAGAGACTGAACGTCCAATTTGGGTGTCGCGGACGAGGGGACAAACCACTTTACAATACGTTTTCTTATATTACCATTCATAAAAAAAAAAAATCATGCCCTTTGCCGGGAATTCAAACCCAGAACCGCTATCGTGGCTATTTTCCGATACCAAATTATGCTAGAAACCGTAGCACCTTCGGGGACTACAAATATATATGAGTGAACAACGTTCTTCTGTGTACTTATGAACACAGATAGCTTTTTCTTAAAACCTAACGAAATATTGTAATTAATTTTTTTATTATTCATTTTTAGAGATCTCTAGAGATGATTGTATACAATATGAATTCATATCATAAATGTTCATAATGAACGAATAAAATATGTATTTATAAGCTGACAATCTACAATTTTGTAAAGGCGTGGGCTCTGGAAGTCATAGCTCGGGATACATCGTTTTGCAACTCTTTTCCAAAACAAAAAGAATTCAAGGCCAATACTGAAAAGTCCTTTATTGACTCCCATAAGATCTATTAAAATATCACCGGGTTTAATATGCAATCATTTTATAAATTTAATATTATTGAGTTGGTTGACATTGTCAGGGTGAATGAAACGTATATGTTATCACTAAGATTGACAACTTCTGAGAACACCGTTTCAACACGTTCTGCTGCCCGTTTATGCTGGAATATGTAGCACCCTCTGTGATTGCATATATATGAGAAAGAAAAGCGTTCTTCAATATACTTGTGACCACAGATAGCTTTTTGCAAACCCTAACAAAACATTGTATTTAATTATTTTGATTAATCAGTCTTTGAGATCTCTAGGGGCGATTGTATACAATATAAACTCATACTATAAATTTTCATAATGAATGAAAAAAAATATATATTTATATGATGTCAATCAACAATTTTGTAAGGGCGTGGGCTCTTGAGGTCACCAAGCGGAATACATCGTTTTATTACGCTTTTCCAAAACAAAATAAGTTCATGACCAATAGTAAAAAGTCTTTTATTAACTCGTATAAGATCCAATTAAAGAATCAACGGGTTTTATATGCTAGACATTTTATAAAGTTGATATTATTGACTTAGTTGACATTGCCGGGGTGAAACAATCTGAGAATATTACACTGGGCACCGTCGATATTGTAAATGTACTTTTTCGGCGTTGGGATAGAAAGGCGCGCCTGGCCACCCAACCCTGTCCCTGGGGTCGTCACCTGTCCACGACCTTTCTGCAAAGGAAAAACTCGTCTCCCAAGATCTGTGGCGGCCTATTTATAGACAAGTGTATCAATAGAAGAAGGCTCTAGAACCATCTAGCGGCCTTCATTCGCAACCGTGTTTACAATCGATACCAACTCGTCACCTCGGCAACCGACCTTTTCTTCTCTAATGGAATTTGTTTTCAATAAATACGACAAATAATCTTTCAAAGAATATATTTTTTATATAACTTATCTGTTTACATTTTTTTCTGACTTCCTGCAGAACCTTATTTGCCTGGCAGGAGTTCAGGAAGTATAGACTGATTTTATATTTATCAAACTCTCATTCAATAATATACATTTATAAGTTAAAAGAAAAAAATTATGTTTAAATGAAATTTTAATGTTGAAAAGTAACCCCCAAAGTTATATTGAAATCTAAGATTATCTTTATTTGAAATGTATATTGTATCGATAAGTCACTTTCAACCTATAAGATTAAGAAGTTTTAAAAAATAGAGAGAGTGAAGATATGCAGGAGGTCATAAACAAATATGTAAGAAGGAGGGAGTGGGCGTAGCGGCTTTATAGTGGGGGCTATGATTTAAAGCTGTGGGAGTGATAACGAGACAACAGTGCTTAAAGTGAGACGACATTGCAAAAAAAATAAAGTGTGAAAGTATTCAGTGCTTCGTACCTGGAGGAGTCGGTGCCGTTTGGTGCGTAACTAGTGTGGTGCGGCCGTGGGGTCGTGTGTGTGTTTTCGGGGGTGGCAAAAAGGCGCGTGCGTCGTTTTTGGCCCAGAGGATAGTGGGGGTGGCGGCTCGGGGGCAGAAAAGGATGAACGTCTCCTCGGTGAGGCTACTTTGCTTCACCGCCTTCTACTTCTTCTACCTGCTTCTGGGGGCGGGGATCTTCTCGGCCATTGAGGCCCCCGGGGAGGTGATGAGGGTGGACCAGCTGAGGGCGATGAGGGTCACCTTTCTTCAGCTACACTCGTGTGTCCGAGGTGAGTGTCGTTTCAGAAAATTACCGGTGACCACCGGTTGGCGCACGCACGTGATCAGTTATTTGCACCTGTTGTACCACGTTGTCTTACCGATAAAAAAATCCCCAATCAAATTGATACCCAACGAAAAAGTCTTATACAAAAAAGTGGCCACCAGTCTTCAGTACTAAAAAATTCCTGCAGAATCGTTATATCAAATTTTAGATTAATTTGATAAACAAATAACTCGACAAAACTAACGATTATCCAATTGAAAACGCAGATCCACCAAACTCTAGATAAGCAAACATCTTATCCAAGACAATTAACAACAAAAACACCTAGTCCATATGATATCTTATAATCAACATCTCAGTAATCATCGTTCTGCGGATTGAAGAAACTCTGCAGAAATATTTGATCCAATTTTGCATCCAACCCGTCTACAAATAAACCAATATTAACTCTGCAAAACGAAACGCTATAACGATTATCCAATTGGACACATGGATGCAATACTATTTACAAAAAAACCTAGACCAAATCTTATACTCATTATTACCTCTGTAACCATCCATCCGTAGGACTGTCACAAACCATGCAGAAACGTTCGATCCAATTTCGCATTTATTCCGCCTAAAAATAAACCAACATTAAACCCAATTAAACAATGATCCCTAACGATTATCGAATTGATCACATGGATTCTTCCAAACTCTAGATAAGCAAACATCCTATACAAAACAATTAACAAAAACACTCCTAGTCCATAAGGTAATTAAAGTAAGTAGAAAGGTTCTGCAGAATTTTTTACAGTACTGATGATAGATGATTAGACAGGAGATGATGAGTATAAGACACCACTTATAGACTAAGTGTGTTGTTTGGTAATTGTTTCATATAGGATGTTTCCTTATCTAGAATTTGGATAGATCCCACAAAACTTTGATTGAGAAGAAACATTCTATACAATATATAATTTACAAAAAAAACCTAATGCATATTAGGTAGCGTGATGTCTTATACTCATCATCATCTCTGAAATCATGCTTCTGAAACTATGGCAAAAAACCTGCAGAAACTTCTGCTACAATTTTGACTCGACAAAACTAAGGGTGCTAAGGGTACATATATGGTATGCCAAAAGGTAGTACGAGAAAACCACATCCTTATACTGAAAAACACCATGCTCATAAACCAAATCCACGCAGAAACACTCGATCATAATTTTACTTTATTTCCGCCTTTAGGTAAACCAGTACCAATATTTTAGAAAAATAATCAACTGGACTCATGGATTCCTCCAAGTTCTATGTAAATCGGAATCCAATACGATACGATCAACAAAAAACTCGTTCTAATTAATCAGTCATCGGGAGTCCTACACTCATAAATCTGCAGCCATGCAAAATGGACAAAAACCCTTCAGAAACTTTCTATCAATTTTATAATTATTTTTTCTTCTAATAAACAAATAATTCAAGCTCCGATTAACGATTATCCAAGGGAACGCATGAATCCCTCCAAACTCTAAGCAAATATTCTACGAGATAAAGTAAACAAAATCAAAAAGAATTCATACTAACTTTCTGCAGGACTGACAAAAACCACGCATAAACATTCTATCCAAATTTTAATTTATTTCCGCCTTCCGATAATCCAGCACCGACCCATGATGATAGAAAAATATCCAACCGGACACATGGATTTCTCAATAAATCAACATCTATTACGATACGATCGACAAAAAACACTCATTTAATTGATAAGTTATCACAATTTATACTCACAAATCTGCAGTCATTCTTCAGCAAGATGGACAAAAACATTCTGCTGAAACATTCGATCAACTTTTGCATCTCTCGTTTAGACAATGCGATACCGGACAAATTGAAAAGTCACAAAGCAGAAATGTCCGATAGATAAACATCCGCATGGATTAAATAAAAATTCAAGATAAATAAAACCCAGCCGCTAAATCAAGAATACATTTCATACCTAAAAGTATGTAAATTATTCAGTGGAAATATTATTTTTACTCTTAATGTTTGATAAACGTTCAAACCTCCAAAATCTAGGTAGGCCAATATCCAATTTTCATAGCATTGTTGTTATATGTAACCTTTTGGAATTTAACAGACGCACAAATCCAATTTCCAATTAAGTTAATCCATTAACGATTAACATTACACATAAAATAGTCATTGATGATAAAATCGTCTGCGTATTCCGTCACACGATTTAATTGACAGTTAAAATCGAGATAAACTTTGATGAGAATTTCCTCTGAATTTGGCAGTTACACGCCAGTTGAACTAATGCTGTATATATAAATTAGCAATTAACATTGATATGAAACTATCTCTGATGAGAAACCCATGTGAAAACGTGTGGGTTTTCCTGTCATACGTCCAATTTCAAAGTAAACGTTACGTGTATGAAATAACGTCGAATTGGTCGGAATATTGTAATTGATGATAAAATGCTGTTTACATTTGCATAATATATCACCGTGATGAACCTTTTACAAAATAAATATCAAATTAAAGTAATTTCCTTGTCATTTATGATTTTTAAAAAAACCTTGCCACAATTTTGCTGTCACTTGTTCACTATCAAGTTAAATTAAAGCCGTATACATAAATTAACGAATAACATTTGAAGGAATGTTTATAATTATATAATTTGTACATCCATTAAACAATTGTACTGTATTTAAATTAAGGTTTAGGTTTTCGGAGTGTTGTGAAGTCTCAAGTTCGACTTCCAGTCAAACCCTAAGTTTACGTATTTAATTAATAAAATCTTAGTTAATTATGTCATTAATGAGTAATTCCCATGAATTTTGCCTCTTGATCCGATCCCTACATGAAAGCGTCGCTACATGTCTAAATTATCGAGTAACATTCGCGAAAAGCTTTTATATAATGTCTGAATTGAAGGGAAAGTCCAATATTCCTTTTTCATATATTGATTAGGCCAAAGTTGAAAAACAAGTGTCACGTGTTATTTAAATTTTAATTAACAACACCTTTTTTTGCTGATTTTGAATCCTTGAACGAATTGGGATTCGAGAATCCTTGTAGATAAAATATTTTCTACTTAAGCCAAATTTCTGCTGACCCTCGGTAAGATAAACTAATGCTTATTATACAAAGACAAAAATAACTCACTTATTTTAATGTAAACCTAAACAAAATCAGAAATTCACGAATTTTATCATTTTTTTTAATTTTGATGGCTTTATATAAAATTCACCAAAACAATAGCAGATACAAAATTTAACCAACGATTTTCACCTAGGTTCGCTCTTAATAACGCGCATTACCTCTTCTGGCCTCGCAGAATGCATCGAGTAAATGAGCAAAGGGATTTCGTCTTCTGAACCAGAATACCATTCTTTCATAAAAGCTGTTTGAAGCTGTTCCACGCTCATTGGAGGCCGCGAACGATGCCTGCCTCTTTATCAAGTCCCATAAGTATTCAGGAGAAGGTGCTGGCCAATTCATTCTGGTAATCCCTACATTCTCTATGTAATCGAGTAAGTTAAAGTAATAGATCTAATAAACAAATCGAGCTGTATGCTTTTCATGCATTAACACGAAGTTTCCACAATAAATGGAGCGAATGGAACCATACCTGCCACAATAATTTCCTCAGTGTACCTTGTAGTACAGTTCAAGATCCATTCTGTGTGATAATACGTTCATTACACCCCATACCATAACTGACTGTCTTTGAAAAGCATGTAACTAATGCATGGCACAAATAAAGCGTTCTCCTCGTCTTCTCCACCCACAGTCCAGGCCATTTGATTGCCTAAGTCATCTGTGAAGACGTCAGCCCTCTATTGTTCGAGTGTTAAAGCCAATTGCTGATTTGGGAATAGTCGTCTTTCTACTAGATGCCTCTCCAGTAGTAGAACGTCTAGAGACTAGGCTATTGTCACGAAGTCTTAGAGCTCATCCTTATACAATATTTCGGACCGTTTGGAGTGGACTAGCTATCAAGGAAGCCAGTAAATGTCGGTTCCGAAACCACTAGGTCGCCCACTACCTTCTCTTCGATCGAGACTGTCAGTGGCCCTCAACCGCGGTAGAACACCGACGATGGAAGAGCGCGGCACACCCAGGACTCGGACTATGTCGGACTTGCTTAGATTTAAAGCCATGGGTTTAAGAAAAAATTAATAATTTTTTTACTCAAAGAATATAATCGAAATAACCAATTAACTCGCTCGATAAGTTGGCCCTGGAAAAGACGAAATTGAACTGATTTTCTTTTTTCTTTTTTTAATCTAAAGAGTTAAAAATTAATCTAGAAGGATTAGCAGCTCTCTGCAAAGGTAAGTAACAAATTATTAATGTATTTACGTTTTAAGTCAACTATTAATCTTTATACCTAGTTACTAAGGAAAATAAACAAATGTCCTCCTTTTTGTTTTTGAACGTATATCTTCAATTTTAAAATAAAATGATTTCACCAGAGTTGTAGGCTTAATATTTTCTTTAATTATAAAACGTATTACAAAGCAGATGAATCATACTATAATCATATTCTTTTCATAACTTATCAAATGAAATCTCAGTACTTGGAAGAAAATCTTTACTCCTGATAAATAAAAAAATTTTGCAAATTTTCGAACGGTTATGTTTCTTACATTGTTTTTATGATTTAAGCCCTTTTTTGTCACTCACATCTAGGTTTTTTTTCAAAAAAAAGATTTTCAAATCCGATGAGGTTGGTCTTGAAATTTACTTAATCGTGAGATAATAAATAATAAAATCTATTTACATAATTTTAGACAAAATATCTGTAAAATAAATTGATATTTAAGAAGAAGAAAAATTATAAAATAGAAAAATCTTCATTAAAAAATAGACGAACTTAACAATGAAATTTGATTGTATATTTTTTTCAATAAGCAGAAGAAACTTTACAATAAATGAAATATTTGTCACCTACGTAACAGATCAATTTACCAATAGAAATATTCCCTCTGTAATAATTTTAACATAGAGAAATTTCCTCGTATGATCAATAATATTGCCAATCACGCGGAACGTTTTTTATAAAGGAAAATAATGCGTTTATCATTTTATTTTTGTTATGAACCAGAAATAAAATCCTTCCTAGGCGAATAGGAACCATGCTGAACAATTCTTTTTGCTAGTTGTGCACTTTAGTACAGCTTGATGCGTATGTTCTTATATTCCTGCTTAAACGACAAAAAAATTCTACAACAAAACAGACTCGGTTAATTCTTGAGAAAATATTAACACTGATTTCAATGTAATTTTATACAGTATTTATTACTTATATTGGCTGTTTTCTATTTATATTAAAATAATAAGCTCAACAAATCAAATAAAACGAATAGTATTATGGGAAATACTTTACCTACTTTAAATATTTATACGCTTTATATAAACTTTTTATGAATCTTTTTGAGGAAAAGAAAGTGATTTCTTGGTTATCAGCTGGCCCATTTAGACCATGACCAAATACCTTTTTGAAGCGAGTTACGACGGCTTTATCGTTCTGCTCTCCTTTAATGTGATTCACAAGCAATGCGCGCTCATCAAGCATCGATAAGCGATAAGACGAAGCAATCTTTGGGAAATTCTGTAAATCAACGGTTTCATTTAGAAAGTAACGATTTTTCAAATGGATAATTTACCAAGGTGACGGAGAAAAAACACAATCTGAAAATATAAAAGTAAACTAAGCAAAATATCCAAATTATAATATAAATATCTAATTTGTACTAAATGTCCCCAATCTCATCTACCTAACTCTATTTAATATCTATTTAACTATCAGTCTCACTCTCTCTTCCTATGTTTTTATTTCTCCTCTTATCTTTCTTTCTACTTATTGCTTTGTCTGTTACCTACATCTACAAAATCCCATAAATGGTATAATTCTTAATTCTCTTTATCTACATCTTTATCAACTATTTTCTTTCTATCTTCTTACTTTTTTATCTCCTTATATATCGATTTTCGACATATCTACAAATCTATGATTCTTCCTTTTTATCTATCGTTTCCCCTCTTTTATCGTTTTCACCCTCCCTTTCGTGCTCTCTCTCTCATTCTCTCTCTCGCTCTCTCTCACTCATTCTCTCTCTCTTTCTCTTTCTCTTTCTCTTTTTCTCTTTCTTTTTTTCTCTTTCTCTTTTTCTCTTTCTCTTTCTCTTTGTCTCTTTCTCTTTTTCTCTTTCTCTTTTTCTTTTTCTCTTTCTCTTTTTCTCTTTCTCTTTTTCTCTTTCTTCTCTCCCTCCAGTTTATTATAAAAGACGTTGTTCGCAACCTAATTTCTGAGATTTTTTAAATAAAACAATATTTATTCATTCCATCTCTTTCTCTCTCCCTTTCACGCTCTCTCTCATTTTCTTTCTGGTTTTGCCTTTCTCCTCTCTCTTTCCCTTTTTGTATTTTTCTCTCTCTTTTTTCTTTCTCTCTCTCACTCTCTCTTTTTTTCCATCTCTCTCTCACCCTCTCTCTTTTTTTTCCCTTTCTCTCTTTCTCTCTTTCCCTGCACAAATTGTATGTATAATGTAAAATGTACAACTCACGTTAAGTGGAAGAAAGGACCACGAGATCTAACTTTCCGTAGTTAAATAAGACGTTTCATCAATCAATCAATCTCTCTTTCTCTTTCTATCAATTTATCTATCTCCATCTCTACCTATTTTTCTATCTACCTATCATTCTATCCATCTACATACCTATCAATCTCACAGCAATATTGAAGTGTATTCACTAATTTCGTGGCCCGCTTGACCAATTAAATCATTACAATTAATTAAGGTTTTTGGTTGAAATGAAAAAAAGAAACTCATAAGGTGGGGTTGAGATGGAGAGTTGATGTCCGAGCGGATCGAGGTCACGATAGCTCAGGTGGTAGAGCAGCGGCGTATCTAGCCGAAGATCGTGGGTTCGAATCCCTCTCGTGCCACTAACTTTTTTTCATCTCAACTAAAAACCTTAATTAATTGTATTGAAGTGTATATTTAACTATCATAATTACTTCTCACTTTTCTGCTATTTTCATAATTCATGTTTCATTAACACGACTCTTAGACTTGGTATGGAAAACCTACTGAATATTAATAAACGGTCTATACAAAAAACAACTTCTTCTAATAAATTATTTAATATTTACGAGCTGATTACAAATGAGTATGACGGGTTTCTTTGATTAAACTCAATTATCGTGGAGAGGAAAAGCATTTAGAGAGAAAAGATTTACCTTTTCAAAAACACTGTTTTGAGGGGTTTTTTATATCAGTATTTTTTTACTCTTGATCAAATTGTCTGAAGTAGTCATTAACACAGCTGGTAGTGTGTTTTTCTTTGGTTTGGTAGAGTCATTTTAAAGATGCTTTTTCAAACTTTGTAGCAACGAACTGAAACCGAGCTAAAACAAAGGAGAATTTTAAAGTTGTCGAAACCTTTTCCAGGCTTGATTATCGACTTTCAAATTACCATAGTCTCACTGGCAGAGAAGAACAAAGACGTACTTTTATCGTTCCTCCCCCGGGTGCAATCCTTTCAGCTATTCTTTCACGAACCTTTTTCCATTTCAATCAATAGCCTTTCATCGAAGCGGAATGTACGGAATGTATGTTATACAATTGTATAAATTTTACAAAGCTTTTTTTTTGTCAAAATAAAACAACGTGGTTTTGATCATCTCTAACTACCGTTTCTGTATTGCGATAATGGGCGGATCAGGTTGGCCAGGGGATTGTTAAGCCTCTGACAAATGTTGAACAATTCGGCAAAACTTCCAGCTTCAATAATTGCTTTTTCAAACAAAGGCACTTAAATTTTCTCATTTTAGCGAATCTATACAAATATGGTACATTCGAATTATTCTGATATAACATTATTATCATAACAATAAATATACACGTTTATATAAGCTAAGAAAAAAATAATAGCAGGAAATCATGATGGGTAATATGAATAATAACAACAATATTAGATGTAAAAATTATATTAATAATAAAAAGTACTAATTAAAGTCATTGGTATCTTAGTTCTATTTTGGTGGAAATGGTCTTCCTAAAAAAGGTCTGAATTTGTAAGAATTAATTAAATGTCGATTCTTATTTTAGTAAATGATAATACGGAGAGAATGAGAGAGAAAATGAGAAGATTTGAGTATGTGCGCTTATCCCCAGTTTAGATAAATAATTTTGTTGAATTCTGATTTTTTAAAAACAAACCAGGCCAATATATTAAACATTTAGATTGTGATATATCAAATATGCAAAATTTGAAGAAAAAAAAGGGAAAATATCAAAGTTGAAAAGTAGATTGTTGTCAAGGATGTAAGGTCCGCTGGAAGGGCTGTGACATGGGAATGATTTGGACAACCCAGTAATATGTACTGAGCAGAGGGAAAACTCGAAGATTAAAATCAACATTCAACTCGAGCTATTGTTATTCAGTGGCATGACCTCATATATAGAACAACCCCTTAAACGAATTGATTCCTTGCATTTATTTATTTTTTGTTTTTTTTAAGCTTGGGGCTGAACTAAGTCCTTTATACCCTGTCTCTAAAACAAATTTATCGTAGCCATCCATTTTAAAATAACAAAACATCCATAGAGATAATTGGAACCGTATGAAACATCATTGTCCTTTTATGGTTAATACTTGCTATAAAAAAATATGTCTCTCATTTTGATTTTATAATATTTTGGCTTATTCATTTTCAACTGAATAGTAGTCAAACACTCTTAATTAATCAATCATTCGATAAATCATTGAATTAAGTAAACACTCTCCTTAAACACACAATCATATTTTCTCAATCGATTTATAACTCATTCACCCATTCATTCATTCACTTAGACATACATAAAATCAATCAGTCAATAACAAAGTCGTTTGCTAGTAAATCGCACAAAAACTCGGACACTCACCCAGCCAATAATCAGGTATACTCGACATTCAATCAATCCATAATAAATAAATTAATTAGTTACTCATTCACTAAATTAAACTCATTCGCTCAATCAATCAATTGTTACAACCCTCATTGACATTGCCTCTTTCACACATTCATTCACATATTCATTCACTCAAACAGAAATTGAATCGCTTACGCAATCATTAATCAATTCATCATCAATTCAATAAGGCTTGATGAATTCAAAACTATTCACACTATCGTACAAAAACTCAAAAATTCACTTGTACACTCAATAATTAACTCACTCATCCAAACAGTCACTAGACACATAAACTTAATCGATCAAGACATCAGCTTATCGAAATGTTGATTTCAAATCAACCCACACCATTCACCTCAATTAAT